AAAAAATCAAGATATTCGAAGAATATGCATGTATATTGACGGTAATTGATATTTTGCTCTGAGTTGGATACTAATGCTGCTGAATGCTGCTGCACTGGGCAACACTTTGAATAAAGAATAAATATTTAAAAGAAAATAAATTTAAAGAAGAAAAAAAATACTACTGTTGTTGATGTTATATGATTGTTAAATACAGATGCAAATTGTACATATATTGTGTGATATTCGAAAATAAAACAAACAAAAAAAAAACGGTACGCTCTACAACAAGAAATGCTTTATTTTCAGGATTATATTTATGTTACAGTTTCAGACGATTTTTGGAATATTTCTTTACTTCTTAAACTTTCAAAATTACCGGAATATTAAAATGTTGTAACTGAATCAAGTAAATGCAACATTAATTTCAATATTACTAGTAATTTTTAATTATTTGTAAAATTTGTAAATTAATTGTGAAAGCCGATGCAGGAGACAAGTTTATACATTAGGAAAAATACGATTCTTAAACATGGAACTTAATAAGCATATATCAGCGTTTTCCAAACTGTGAGGCGCGCCTTTCTGGCGAGGCGCGAACATTCGTAGCAGTGAGCAATTTTCCAAATATCTGCTAAAGTATAGATACATCCCTGTGCTCTTATCCATATTGCTGTAATACGCGTTCAAAGTTGAAAAATTGAAATTAGAACGTTCGAAAAAATAGTGTTTTCACATTTCATTGATTTTCTCGAAAACTATAATAGATAGAATGAATCCAATAGATACATATGAAAGCTAAATGTTTGGGAAATCTAGCAAGTAACGATATATTACTGTGGTTTCATCTGTTTGGCTGTAATTTGCGTTCAAATATTGAAAAAATGCTCGAAAAAGCAGTGTTTTAACATTTCATTGATTTTCTTGAAAACTATAACACATAGATTGGATCCAAAAGATGCATATGAAAGCTGAATATTTGGGGAATCTAGCAAGTAACGATATATTACTGTGGTTTCATCAGTTTGGCTGTAATTTGCGTTCAAATATTTAAAAAATGCTCGAAAAAGCAGTGTTTTTACATTTCATTGATTTTCTCGAAAAC